CTCATTTTCCACACATATTTAGTTATCTCTAACCTATGCCCATCTGTTGTTATTACAGCAGATAAATACTAGCTCAGAGTCATACAAAAACTTTAAAACTTGAAGGAAGTGGGTCAAATTTACTTTGTCCTACATGCTTGCAAGTGTTTGATCACAGACATGTGCACACCTACATCAATGCAATCTCAAAAACTGATTGCAAATAGGGTGGGTGAAAGGGAAAGGGCTGAAACAATAAAGATTATATGGCACTGGGGAAGCTGGCAGAACAATGCCTAGATTAATGACTTTAAGTGTTTCTGTTTACTTAAGTTTTAGTGTAGAGGTTGAAAGTTTCTGTAAAAACGAGTACTATCTTCTTTTATTTATAAGCCTAAGTCTTGAAAGTGGTCTGAAAAGCTTAATAAGTAGTTAATTTTGCTTGCCAAGTAGTTTTCTTAATTTTTTGAAGGAAAAGCATATGTGTAATACAGAGTCATTTATAAGTACTAAAAAAATAAATGCAGGCTATCACCTGAAGAAAATCACACAGCTAGTTAGGATAAGTATGTTAAGACAATCGGAGAAAGTCTTCCTGGAAGCTATTTATGGAGTCACAAAAGATAAAAAGCTGATTGGGAACAGTATGGATTTGCCAAGCCTAAATGATGCTTGATCAACCTTGGTCTTCAATGATAAAATTACTAGATCTGTGGATGAAGGGAGAGTGGTGGATACCATCCGCTTTGTCTTTAATAAGGCTTTTTGACATGATCTTCCACAGTATCCTGGTAGCAAAGTTGGGATGGTACTGTCTACAGGGCAGAACGATCAGATGGGTGAAAAACAGGCTGGGCTGTCAGGCTCCATGGGTAGCAGTTAAAGATTCACACTCAGCCTGGAGGCTGGTTACAAGTGGAGCTCCCCAGGCATGTACCCTGGGATCTGTTCTTTTGTCCTGGTTTCAGCTGGGACAGAGTTAGTTCTTTCTAGCAGCCAGAAGAGCTCTGTGTTGTGGTTTTAGTCTGAGACTTGCTCTGAGCAGAACGCTGACAGCGCGCTGATGTTTGTAGTTGGCACTGAGGGCTCAAGGGCTTTTCAGCTGCCGTGTTCTTGCCAGTGTGCAGGAGCACAACAGGACAGGGGGAAGCATAGCCGGGACAGTGGTGGTTCCACAACACCCCTTATGGTTTGAACTTAGACTTAGGATTGAGGGCCAAATTGGCCAGTGGAGTATTCCATATCATGCAGCATCATGCCCAGTATACAGAAGAGGGCTGGCCGGAAAGAAGGGCCTTTGCTCTTCCAGGGCTCTCACTCTTGGAGTGCTCTCTCTCCCTCTTTTCAGGCCTCCCGCTCATCCGGGATTGCGGTGTTGGGACTTACTTGTTTCAGGATCATTAGTCTGGGCCAGGTAGGGCCTTGGTCACTGGGTGGGGAGCAATTACACTGTGCATCAATTGAATTTATTATTAGCATTATACGCACATATATATATTCATATATTATTATTATTAAATTGTTCTTATCTCAACCCACGAGTCTCCTTCCCTTTTCCCCTTTAATTCTCTTCCTCATCCCTGGGGGGTGGGGGCAGGTGAGCGAGCAGCTGTGTGGGGTTTAGTTGCCGGAGCGACCTAAACCACAGTATCTCTGTAACATGTTCACCAATAACCAGGAGGAGGAGGTGGTGAACGACACCCTCAAGTTTGCAAATCACCCCAAAAGGGACAGGGTGGTCAACACGCTGGAGGGCAGGGCTGCCGTTCAGAGCAGGAACCTGACATTCAACAAGGGCAAACACAGAGTCCTGCTCCCAGGATGGACTAACCCCAGTGATGGTACATGCTGAGGGGCTGATGGGCTGGAGAGCAGGGCTAGGGGCGCCCTGCCAGCAGTGTGGCTATATGAACACCAGCATGACCAGTAGATCGCGGGAAGCGACTATTCCATTCACTCAGCACTTGTTACGTCACATCGACAATACCATGTCCAGTTTTGGTGTCCCGCTGTAAGAGAGACATCAATAAACTGGAGCAAGTTTTATGGGAGGCCACTGGGATGGTCAGTGCTGGAGCACTTGGCCTGTGAGGAGAGGTTGAGGGGTATGGGCTTGTTCAGCCTGGAGAGGCTGCAAGGGGACCTAACAGCAGTCCTCCCCAATACCTACGGAAAGAGCATTGAGAAGGGAAAGCCTGCTCTTTATTGAAATTCATGGCAGGAGAACACAGCGCAGTGGTTATAAACCGAGACAAAGGTCAGTCTGACTGGATATACAGGGAAAGTTTTCTCCGAGAGGATAATTATGCCCAGAGAGGCTCTGCAGTTTCCATCCTTGGAGCGTCTCAAACTCACCTGGGCAAGTCCCTAAAGCAACTTGGTCTGAATTCAGCCTTGACACTTTTTTGCCCTAGGTGATCTGCCAGGGTCCCTTCCAACTTGAATTACGCTATGACTTATCCTTAAAAATAGTAAACACAACATTCAGAAGTGCCCAGCCAAAAGCACATCTTACTCTTCCAATGGGCTGTCCACTTCTTTCATCCTTCATCCATTTAAAGGAAGCTACAGCTTTTGAATAAGGATACAACATGAGTCAGTTAAAAAAAAAAAGATGTTAAACACATGCTATTACCAAGAATACCAAGATACAGTCAATTCTCCATTCCACCTTTATACTTTGCACCCTTCCTTGTGAGAACGGTAACGAAGCATAACCAAGATAACAGCCACGAGGCCTTCATCTTCTCCTTGTCTACAGAGCTGCGGGATAGAGCCCACATGGACCTTTGTGAATGACCAGCAGAAACATTCCCTACCCTCAGGTTTCTCATTTACAGTTGGCAGTGCAAAGAGATGGTTCTCTTGCCTCTCCAAGTAACAAAATTAAACCAGAAGCCTGGCAGCAGGGAAAGTAAATGGAAAGTTATTCTTCATGTAAAGCGATTATTAACAGATACAACCTAATTATGAGAAGTACCCAGCTATAGTGAAGAGAGGTCTAAAAATTAACTGTGAAATAAAATTAAAAAAAAAAAAATGCTGCTCAGTAAGTGCTGTTAAATGGTATTTTTGCTTCTCTGGAAAGTATAATGAGAAGTTTCCAGTTATTTCCCCTTTCTCAGGATGATCTTGTGCTAGCTAGAAGAAAGGGCACAATTAAATATTCCTTAAGTATTACTGGCAATGAGAAAGACCACTGTTCAGAAAATAAGCACTACATGGGATTTGCTTGGGGTTTTTTGTTTTGTTTTGCTGTGTGTGTTTTTTTTTATTATTTAAGAAAACTGAGCTCATTCTCTGCAGAAGGCCACTAAAGCTTAGAAATAAATGTTATGTATGTTTTATTTCAAGAGAAAAATATTTGCTCTTCCTCAGTATTAGCATATCTGAAAAAAACAAACCACACTGAAAATCAATTTACAAGTTGCAACTGCTTAAAAATATTAACTGTCTCCAAAATTCAACATGACTAAGAAAGGTAAAATTGAAATAAAAATATTAACTTTTAAGTTTCCTGTGTGTTTACTAACCACACGAAACGAAATCTTTTAAATTTAGCTGAAAGGAACAATCTGGATGTCAAAAGTCTGTATGTGCCCCTTACTACTGTTCTGTAAGGGGCTTGATGAACGCTTGAACGTTTATGCCTTTTCAGTGGTTATAGAAATGTCCTTGATTAGGAAAATGTGGGTTTGGAATTTTCGAATTCAACCTGTTTCAAGAAACAACAATTGACAGAAATAAATTAGCAAACTAAATATTGCTTTTTTTCAAATCTCTATTTGATTTGTTTAAATATTTGCAGCATTAACAGCAAACATCTTAATTTAGAAGTCTCTTCAAACTTAACATGAGAACAAAAATTTGTGCAGTTAATACACATTTACCTTCTTCAACTGTCTGTACAAAGGCCCCTGAAGAACTCCAATTTGTTGTAAACCCAAAGCTGCGACTGTGACCAGGTCTCTGGTTTATACTGATTCTCATTTCACTGTACTGTTCCTGAAAAATAAAACATGACACTACAGTATCTGGTATCACAGGAATCTAAATGAGGGAAAGTTTATCCTCTAAATAAGTGAGGCTGCTCACAATGTGCACTTTAATCATCTATTATTAGCATCATAGACAAAGGAAACAGTATTGAAGTCAGTTAACTAACTCATGTGGTTTTTATTCAAACAAGGATGTTTTCAGTTTACATTTACATTTTCTCTACACATATACGTAGCTATGCATTTCTCTTATTTTGGATACTTTGTAACGCAATGCCACAAAATGTAAGAAATTTGAGGAAACTAAACCATTAAATGGGTTTTTCAAGATAATCTTGTGAATTTGTGGAACGCACTGCCTGCTGAGAGAGCATCAGTCAGATGTGAAAAAGCTAGATAACAGTAATTCATCTTATTTTTTTCTTGCACATCCTACAGTGGGCATCATCAGTTTCCTTTAGACTCAATGCTGCAACTAGGTTTACTAGGGAGAACAATCATCTTTTTAATTTTGTGTAAAATACTACTAGCTTGCTATGGATTTTGTAATGGAGGTCTTAGATACTAAAACTCATCCCAGAACTAGCTAGAATCCAGATCATTCTAGTGGACTTTCAAGATGCTTTCAAAATCACAATCAAAACCTAACATTATCATTTTAAACTACAGAAATATTTCATTTGGAAAACATTTTGGAACACTTGCTTTCAATCCCACACTACATTATGAACATGTGTTGCATACATTAACATTTTAATGTGAACTCATTAAAAAACAATTAAAATACCCAAATGCATGCTATTCACTTCATTATCATGGAAGTGACATTGCTATAAAAGAGGAAAAAAAATAGACTTTTTCTGTCAAACACTGTTAAAACAGATATATTCCAGCAATGTGTACGTGGAGGAGACCCCTGCATGTGTAGCAAATTTGGTTCACTAAATGTACATCTACATTTCAGTTGCCTAGCGAACCAGCTTTCCTGAAGAGCGGGATTCATTTTCCCTAAAAAAGTATTTAGAAGTCTAGATATCTAAGCCAGTTCCCCAAAGTTCCAATGTTGGCAGGATGCATGAGGCAGCTGCAGGGAGCACTGCACAAGCAGATGTGGTTAGCCAGAGTCTCCAGGAAGGATGCAGCCAGAGAAGGCTTCAGCAGCACCCAAGCACTGGATGCAGAAGACAACAACATCACAAGGTAACATCCTGAGGTTTTGCCTCACGTTGAAGGAATGTTCCTGGCAAAATACTTTCCGTTACAGCCCAGGGTAGACATTAAGTCCTTTCTTCAAAACACAGCCACTAGGCTTGCAAATGCTCCCATACAATCCAAGTCCTTAGGTGAGTAAAAGTACATTAAAAGCAAATCTACTAAGGGACAGGTTAGTGTACTGGGCTAAAGCACATATAAAGCTTTTGAATTTGACTGTGCTTCTGGAAATTTCTGTTGTAATTTTTATTTCTGCCATCCCAACCCAGCTCGTCTGCAAACCTACCTCTTGTCAGGAGTAACATGACTTTGTACACTGAACTTCATCATTTGGACAAGTCATCTCCAAAACACTTAGTACTCCACAAACCTGGTGTTATTGCCCTGATGACCAGTGGACTATATCAATCCCTCAGCTCTGACAATGATTCACAAACATGCCAAACGGAACTTACATTCCTTATGCTATACCTTGTTGTTTGAGGCACAACACAAGCTTTTTTTTTTTTTAATTTTCTTTTTTACTTTTTTTTTTCTTTAAAAAAATTCCACATTACTCATTTGCAGAATGGACGAATTATAATCTTGTGACTAATGACAGGGAAAAAAAAAAATAGACTTAGTACATTTTGTTCTCATTTGTCTCTCCTAAAGCGATGGAAAAAGCCCATGTTTGATCTACGTTTTCACTGATTAGAACAGCAATTCCTCTGCCTGTTTTTGCTAAAACACAGAAAAAAAAAATGATCACAATCTCTTTTCTAATACAACAATCACAGTTGTATAAGAATCAATCAAGAAATTATTATAATTTCATTGCAATGGCTAAGAGGTATCAGTAGTATTAAACTGAAATGTGTTCCTTTTCCACAAGTGATTAGAAAGAGGAAGGGTTCAAAGTGACTGAATTTATAAAAAGCTGGTGTGGGAAATGATTTCATAAATAAGCATCTAAGGTCTCATGATCCTCACCCAAGCAACTGGCATAATTAACTTCTGCAGCAGCATCAGGAATGCAAAGAATTAACCTCTAATCTTTCAAGGAGTATGAACCACGTCATTAGGTAATACGGAAAGGTATCGACAATTAAAGCTATTATTGGTCATTTTTTACTTGTGAAACATGTGATCAAATTGGATAAAGCAGTAGTTGAAGATACATATCGAAAAAAAAAAACCAAAACCTAGAAGACGCAATTCTTGGATAAGCACATATACAAAAAGATGGTGATTTGCTTTAAAATTCATTAATGTGAACATTAATTAGATTAATTTCAAGTAAATAACTACTCCAAAAAAAGGGGGAAGGCTCAAGCCACAAGAGATGGAAAAAAGGATGATGGGATACTAATGTTTAAGGCTGGCCTTTGAAAAGCTGATCTTTATTTTCCACCACCAGTTTAAAAGTGCAAATGAATGCTACAGCAGCTCAGATCATTCACCTAACTGACATACCTGATTGTGTGCACAATGTGCTAATTTGGAGAATAAACAAAAACTTTGCAAACATCAAACAATATTTAGAATAACTATTTTGAATTAGAAAGAGAAATAAAATTAAGCTCAGGACATATAAAAGGTAGGGAAAAAAATGCAGCAAAAGGACCAATTATTTTCTTTCCAAGTATTCTCTTTCCCCTTAATTAAATCAAAGGAAATAGTAGTTCTCTCAGCTATTTTCTTACTACCAAAGAATACTTTGCGTTAGATGTAATTTTTTTTTCCTTTTACTGTGCTGCAGCATTCAGTTACACTAAGTAATCACATTATTCCACACTTACCAGGGATTTTGAATTCTCAGGCTCTGGCAGACTCACATTTTCTGCAGAAGATGCAAGTGAAAGAGAATCAGGAGGAGAGCAATATTCTGGTTTAAGAATACTGCTTCCAGCATCTTGGTCTTGGGATTTTACAGGTAGTGTCAAACTAGGAGGAGATGTTGACTGAACACCTCCTTTTTCTTCCTCCTCCTCCTCACCTCTGCTTCTGAAAGCACTAGTGGAGAGAGGGTGTGCAGAGTCTGGTTGTGAAAATGAGCTGCTAGTGAACAAAGTTCTTTTAGTTCTTTCTACTTCTCCATTGTATTTCTGGGTATCATCCATCTAGGACAAAAAAGACAGTTTGGTAAATATGAGCTTTAAAAAACCCACAAAAATCCTAATTTTTCAGTAATCTAAATTTTTAACAAAAAAACCCTCCCTTTCATGCAAATTCTAGTTACTGTACTCGTTACTAATTGCCCACTTTAAAGAAGAGCGACGTATTTTTTTCTCTTGAAGTGCTTGCAGAATAAGTAGTCCAGACTTTCCAAGATAAACTTGTTAAAATCATCTGCTTAGAATGATCTGCATTCTTAGCATTTTTTTAAATTGAAACAAATAGAGATTTAGGAGAAAGCTATGAGAATCAACATAGTAATCGGGGAGGGAGAGATCAATCAATTTCTATGTTTCAGTGCTTTACTGAGCAGAAAAATTTTAGGCTAGCATAAAATTTCAATTTCAACAAAGTCATCAGAGCAGAAGAAACTTATATCACCTGAAAAATTTGTCTTTAACACTTAATTACATTAACATAGCTTCAGACAATTACATCCATTGAAGACAGTTTTTTTTTATAAGGAACACAAGGAGACTTACTCCAAGTAATAAAAAGATTATTCTACCAAATATATTTATCAGCCTTATTTCTAGGAGTGCCTTTAAGAACAGAAACATGAGTAAACATCTAATGCCACGACAGAACTATCTGCTCTACTAACACAGCCTTCATCAAACCGCAGATGATTTTTTAAAAAATAAGTGTTAAAACTCTATTGTTCCCCCAGCTATCCAAGACCCCAACATTTACAAACTTCAGGAACGAAGAGGAATTTTACCGTGAACGACCGTGGAAGTGACGAGATTCCTCTTGAGTGGACACCAAAAGGTCTTGGTGTAACCACAGATGTTAACCTGGAGGTATCGGTTTTCTGGTAGCTTCTCGGGAGAGAAGCTGAAACCTGAGCTGACCCAGTTTGAGCATTCACCGAGTAGCGGTTAGACAAAAGAGCCGAGCTCTGCTCCTCTGCCAGGCTCTTTGGCGGAGCCTCACGAACGGTCGAGCTCTCCAGCAGGTTCTCCTTGTGCGGTTGTGCAGCATACGCACTTTTGCTGTACTTAGTGCTGTAGGAGGTATCTTCTTCCAAAAGGTGACTTCTTGCTGCTGACCGTGTGGAAGGTTCTTTTACTTCACTAAACACATCGTCGTTCAGTGAATACGTCCATCTGTGATCATGTTTTTGCTGCCCGTAGGAGTCTTGATCTCTGTCCTCCCTACGGTGACAGAACATGTTAAAATACCAGACAAAGAGACTTGTCACTAAGTCTTTCGACTACTAAATGTTCAAAGCAGAGCATAAACCAAGAAACACATCTCCAGTAAATGAAAGCGAATGGCATAATTTAAAAATATTAGTATTTTAATATAGTTTTAAATCTACCTTCTTCCTCTTCTCATTTCAACACTCCCATAACACTCAGGCGTACTACCGTCACATCATCAGGTTGCCACCTTGACAGAAATCTCTTTGCCAAGAAAACAGTAAAGCTATTCAAGCTATATATCTTCAGAAATTCAGATTTTATGGAGGAAAGAATAGGAAGAAGGTGGTCCCATAACACTGCCTGAACTGTGTAGCTCTGCTGATATCTCTGCTTTATGAAAATGCTATAATGAACTTCAGATAACAAAGGAAGATGGCGTCCTGAAGTTGAGATTATTTTTTTTTGTCCTGCTATTCATTCTTTTGCCATAAAGGAACAACCACCACAAAGATAATCTTTACCATGTCATTTTTAAGATTCTGATGATTCTGGACATTCAATATTATTAGCATATGTATTTTTACTCGAGATTAATTTTTGTCCTCACAAATAATTGAAAAATACAGACACTCAAAGCATTCTGTTTTAAGACTTAATTTAAATTTCTTCAGACTTTAAATTTCTTTTACAAATACATGCCATGCACATACTCCCTTCATCTCAGTCATACATGTATTTTTGAAAAAAAAAGGAAAAAAAAAAAAAGAAAGACTGTCACCAGTAGAAATAGTACAGTGCTAGTCAGTTTACATTTTTCACTCTTTGGAGAGAATCTTGTTCTGTAAATATCTAGAGTAACAATTGGGGATAGAAGGGAAATCAATTAAAAGTTTACAGCTCTGTGATATACATTTAAATTCTGGCCCATATTAATCCACAGTGGCTAGCAAATGTAATGGTAGACAAAAGAGAAATAGTTACGTTGATCCAAGAATAAAAAAGGCAATTATCCAGTTCAACACTATTGTTTTAACCTCTTTAAAGTGGATGCAAATACTGACTTCTCAATACATTTATTTATGGATAGCAGAGTAAAACATCATTTAGAGAGCAAAACCTTTTAACGTTCTGTGAAAACAATGCATTAGCAGACCATATTCCACCTTTCAATTGCCTAGATTCCTACACTATAATTTGCAACTAAAATTGTTGAGATTTCTGCAGAATCAATTGCAACTTGCCAGTAAAAGCTGTTCAAGAATTCAAGGGAATAAAAACGCTCAGATTTAAGTTCTTCAACATAATACTCCCAGTAGGGTCATTACCTCTCCTGCTGCATTTCTTTCAGTGACTTGGTACTCCTTTCAGAGGCTCTCCTTTCTATTTCTTCTCTCTCTTCCTTTTTCTTTTGCAGTTCAGAGGTGAAGCTTTTTCTACGGTTCTTCCATTTTGCTAGATCCTATAAGAATAACATGAATGTATACAATCAGATTTCCTCAAGACCTTTTAGAACTAGAGGCATCCCATCGCATGCTACCTCCTGCCCTGACTTTGCATATCTGCACCATGGCCACATGTTCATGCATCTTCCCCCTAAATGGTAAAGGGGTTCTTATATTTCAGTTAGGGTTACAGGCTCACTGCCTGTTAAAGCTAACAATTGTAATTCCTGGACTGCAAGTAGAAGAAGTACATGTTTTGCCCTTCCCTTCCCCTCCCCCTCCAACATTTTCAATTTTATTCTAGAATACTTCACCCAATGACACATATTTGAAAACTAATGCAAATGCCATCTGTATTTCTTTATTGAAGGCTTTGGAGTTTGGCATTTTTTCTTTCCAAATCACTCCTATGTTAGACTGATACATTAGCTTGAGAATAAACATGCTTTAAATCCCAAATTGAAAACATATACTTCTATATTTTCTTCATTTCTATAAAACCACAACGTGAACTGGCAATATTCTCCATGAAATACCAGAGCTGAGTTAAAAGAAGTACTGAATATTAGAATTGAGATGCCTGAGATCCATTAAACTAACAACTATGAACTTCTTGCTTGGTGCTCTGTTCTTAATTTCAGGTTCTTGTTGCTAATCGTTGTCAAGCAGAGATTTTAATAAAAAAGAAAAGGTCTTCAGATACTGTTAGGATGCTGCGCAAAGCTATCACATCAGTTTACAAGCTGGATTTAAAACAGAATTATTATGGGATAGGAGCCTCAAGAATCTGCACAAGGAAATATTATTTCCTTCCCTTCTCCCAAAGGATCAAATACTCAGACATGCCAATCGTTTCACAAAAAAACTATTCACAAATTTGAGATAACATACATGAAACTGTGCCTTAACTTTTATGTCCACAGAAATCAAGCCTGAAGGCCTTATTGCAATACATGTAAGTCTTATCCTGAAGCATTAATCAGATACTGGTGATATTTAAAATTATTTCAGTTCTGCATTAAACAGACATCCTCAAAACCATCAGCAGTTGCAGGAGATGCATCGTTCTAGAAGGCATCCCCATAAATTGCTGCACACATGCCAAAGCCTGTTTTCTAGGGACACCGAAAGCAGGCAGCATGCAGCCCTTAAGCAGGACACGTGAGGAGGGGTGAAAAGGCGTACTTACCTCTTGCCACTTTAGATCCTGTTCTTGTAGCTGTTCTTTTATCCTTTGTAGCTCTTCGTAACGGATTTTGCGCAATGACTGCAGCTCCTCTGCGCTGACATCGTTCAAGGATTTACTCCTAGAAAGAAAAAGAATATTTGGCTTTATCGCATCTTAGCCATCATTTATGGAAGTGAAATCGAGAGAAAAACAGGAGGGAAAGGGGGAGAGAGAGAAATTTATATTAGTACAACTGAGTGCTCTTGAATGTTATTTTAAACAGAGCAGGAAACACACAGGAAGCTGAACAAGCAAGACTGGGACATGCTCTAGTGCCAGCACTCAAGTCAGTAGTTGCACACTTGAGCAAACAAAATCAGGTTAAGGGAATAAGCAGCTCTGTAGCAGCTCCACGCTGATCACACACACTGAGGTCCTCGCACCCGACTGCTACTTCTGTTTATACCTGTTACTCTCTTTATTGACCTTGTTCCTTTCTTTGACCTAAAAGGCATCCCCCCTCCTCCTCGAGTCCAAATTCCCATCCTTTGACTTCTTCTCTCCAGTAACAGCCCCAGAATCACCTCCCATTCTTTCCTTTCTTAGCCTTATCATAAAATCAAGTCAGTTATTCATGCACGTTTCTGAAAGAGAAAAGTCATTCACTGCTCAGTTCATGCATGTCATGGGCCCCACTAGTCTAGGTCATTCCTCCCAAAGCCTCCCTGATGCTTTCCACCCAAGTCAGGACAGGTAACACGACCATCATCTTCTCACTAATTTCTTCAAGATAGCTACAAGTTTCCCCCATTAAAAGGAACTAGTGAGTAGGAGTTAATCTAAATATCTCAAAGATCACGTTCCATGCTTTCCCCTCCTCCCTCCAGTGCTATTTTCTCCTTTATTCTTTCACACTGCAGTGATAAAATAGCAGGACTTTTAATTTAGGTATAGGACAAGACTCCTTTTCAGAGCGGACCTCAAGCCTCTGAGACACCAAGCAAAATGCAGGTGTTTGATCATAAGGTTCAATGCTGTAATATAAAATGAAAGCTAGGCTTCTGGGGTTTATTTTTATTTTTTCAAAAATATTTTTGTTCGCATTTATCCAAACAAAATCTGAATGACGAAGGGGTGTAATCAAGTTCTAACAGGACTTGAAAACACAGCACTTCTCCGTTACAACGGAAAAAACAGGTTAAAACCAAAAATGATTCAGCACAGGGCCTTGCTCTAATCTGTTACATACCAAGACAGCTCTGAACTAACAAACCAGACTCACTGACTTCCTCCCAAGAGGCTCAACTCACTTTCATTGGTAACATAAGACTTTAGCCTCTAGAAACAAAGGCGAAGGCATTAACTCATTATACCTGTTTGCTTGTCTGTTTTCTGAATGGGAAGAATGCCAAATTTAGCAAAAATCTTCTGGTCACTGTTGCAGAAACTCTTTTCTTGTACAGCTCTTTTCCTCATTTTTTTAATGGTTAAGTTATATCACATGTAGAAATGGTTTTGGGTTACCGAACTGTACGTAAGTATCAAAATTGTTCCAGATGAGTTCAAGAAAACTTACGTGACTAGAGTTTCCTTTTCTTTCTCTCAAGTTTCTACATCTGCCTGCAACAAAACAGGAAAATCTAGACCTAAATACAATATACCCTAAGTACAGGTATATTCATACCAAGGAACAGGACGTTAGTTTCAACTCTAGTCTGAACTTCAAAATCTAACTAGTGACTTGAGCCTTCTGAGTCTCCCTCCTCTAAGATCTAACATCTTCTGAAACATTTCTTGCTTCTTCTGGAAGTGTATAGGTAAAAATAATAGGTAAAAATAAAATAAGTAAATAAATAAAAATTTCAGGGTAAAAATAAATAAGTAAATAAATAATTCTACATTAAAAACCAAATTAGAACACCATGCATGACCAAATACTTAACATGCCATCACACAGTAAGTGGAAAAATATTTCTCTGACTCACAGTACATCATAAGTAACACCTAAGTTTACATGGCACTAACCAATAAGTTTACAACTGAGGATTCAATAACCTGGAGCATATAAGATAACCACAGAACATTCAATCCCATGATAAACACCATGTCGTTAAATACTTTCAGATTCTAACTATACAGCCTTCGAAATCAAGTATTTACTAATCTTCCTTTATGTTTCTAAATGTCTTAAAGCCTAATTTAAATACAGAACACCAAGTACTTCACTTCAGC